GTCGTTATTGCTCAAATAGACCATAATTTTTATTGCCTTCAATTTTGTTTGGTTACAGAGCTATCAAATAGAAAACCAGACCCCCTCCTGCCACACCCACTCGTCACATCCTCTCTTTCACAAAAAATAGTTGATAGTTCTCTGTTACATTTCATTATATATTACCTATAACCAATAGAAAATCAAAATTTTTCATCTATCAAATGGCGTATTGTAGTATTGTATAACGTTGTGTTCTGAACAGATATCAGTCAATTTCACTCTGAGTAGCAACATCGTTTCCATGGGAAAGTTAACGACTAGCTTGGATGAATTTGTAATGGCTCTTTTTTTTGCATATTAGAAAGCCAGGAAATTTTTAGAAGTAAGTGAATTTGCCTACTTTTTGCATGTTATTAGTCTTGTCTGTGTGAAAATAAATATAAAATAAAATAAAGATTTGTCCATGAATATATTGAGTATTTGTTTTGAATAATTAAAAATACTTCACTAAAAACTATGATTTTTTTTGTATGTGAAAGACATGTAATATTAACTGAAAGACTACCAAATTTTGTGAATATATATATATACACTATATTAAAAGTTAGAATTATTAAATCTATAGAAAATATTTCACAAAACCACAACTCAATAACCATTTTTTGAGTGGCTCCAATAACTTACCCAGCATTCCTTTAACATGTGAAGAGCTTTTTATCAAAAACAATTTATTGTTCATAAAAACATTTCAATTTCAAAACCACTAAAACTGACAGTTCATTATTATACAACATACTGCATTAATGAGATACTTTGTTTCACTTAATCTATGTTAAACTATATACTCCCCTATTATTCATTATCTGGAGAAGACTGAAAACCTTAACATGATGAATAACAGTGATTTTTTTTTTCAGTATAAAGGTATTATAACAGAGAGAATATTACTTATTACATTAAAAACCTCAGTGTAAGGGTTAAAAAACTATATATATTACCTTATGAGCTAAGATGTCTCTTATGTCTTCAACCCGTTTTTTACTCACATCGGTAATATATATGTGACCAACATCTCTGTCTAACAGTAAGTGAGCAACATTCATCCCTAAAAAAGGAAAAACTGAATTTAAGTTCAGATTCAAAAAGTAACAGTATCTAAAATGTGCATGTTACTGAATTTTATTATGCAGAAATAACAAAAAACAACATTTTGTATAGTGTAAACTATTAGGTAAGTGATAAGAAATATAAAACAAATTAAAATTTATTAAAATTTTTCTGTATTCTATGTTAAGAACAAGAAGTTACCTTCAAGAAAATATTAAAAGTTGAACTGTTAAGATAATTACCGTCAAGAAAATATTAACAGTCGAACTGTTAAGATAATTACCTTCAAGAAAATATTAAAATTTGAACTGTTAAATAATTACCTTCAAGAAAATATTAACAGTTGAACTGTTAAGATAATTGCCAACAAGAAAAGATTAACAGTCGAACTGTTAAGAAAAATTAAATTATTTAGAAAGATGTTATACATAACCAAAATGATAAATTATTGATTTGGAAATTCAACATGTGTTAAAATGTTTTTACAAATTGATGAGGAACATTTCGTGTAACATGAACATTAATATGGTAGAGGAAGGCCAAAATAATAAACTACAATATAAAAATTATCAAATACTGAAAACTTTCCCTCGTTGAGTTTGAACTCATGCTGTCAACAGACAAGTGACTAAAAATTTCCAAATTTCCAAAGAACACATACAAGAGTCCTGACTGAACAAATTATATAACTACAGTATTTCATATATAAAAACAGACTGTATTTATCTTATTTTGTATTGTTAGTTTTGGTGTCAAAATTATTCACAATCTCAAGCACACAGGAAATGCTTAACAATGGGTGTTGGGCAGAATATTAAAAAACTCTCAAGATAAAGGATTTCATCAAGTCTGAAGAATAACCACAGATGGCAAACAGATTCCTGAAACTGAAGATACAGTGATGTGATTAAGGTAAAATAGCAAAAAACAAAGGCAGTTTTGACCCCATTCCAACCAGTAAGATATATGTGAAACAGTTCAGAGACCAAGACAAAATACACTGCCAAATGTAATGAGATGTAACCTGAAATTCATGCTTAAGGTGGCCAGAAACATCAAACTAAACAAGACAGATTAGCTGCACAAACTGGTTCATTAATGTGGATGAGCAAGATCTGTGAAACAAGAGTCATCACATGATATAAAAACCCAAGTTGATTCCCTCAAAAAAGATACCATTCTTAAATAGGAAAAATATGAGAAAAAGCAGTTGTGAACATCTCTTACAGCCAAGTCTTAGGTAGGAAGACTCTATCAGGATATAAGTACAGAGCCCAAGTCTTAGGTAGGAAGACTCTATCAGGATATAAGTACAGAGCCCAAGTCTTAGGTAGGAAGACTCTATCAGGATATAAGTACAGAGCCCAAGTCTTAGGTAGGAAGACTATCAGGATATAAGTACAGAGCCCAAGTCTTAGGTAGGAAGGCTATATCAGGATATAAGTACAAAGCCTCCTTATAAAAAAGGACTGTAAGGAAAACATCAATGGCTAAACCTTCAGGATTTTAAAAGGAGAAGCCAGGCAACTTAAAACCAGACTTACGTCCCACTGAAGAAAATGCCTAGATACGGTAGAGACATAATAAAAAAAACAAAATAGAAATAGAACCTGAAATATTGAGGCCAACAGAGGTATACATGACTTCTGTGGAATTGAAAGTGGCATACAAGCCATGACCATGAAACATTTTGATAAAAAAAAAAAAAGGTAGGTCCATTAACAAGTTGGAGAAAGACAAGGAGCCAAATTCAGCAGGCACAAACTCTGAAAGACAGACTAATGAAACTGGTATACTGTCAAGGAGGAACATCTGCATGAACATGACAGCATTCAAGCTATCCAAGAAAAGAAGCAAGCTTCACTAACAGCCACCCATGAAAGCTGGAGAGGACAAACATCATCATGGAAGATGTGTGAAAAAATAATGAAATAGGATCCTTCTGAGATGCACTAAAGGAGCGTAAGCCATGGTGAAAAAGACTAGAGAAGGGCAATAAGAAGAACTGGACAATGAAAACAAATAATCTTGACCAATATCCAAGAAGGATATAGAAAAAGACAAACACTGAGAAAAAAATTCTTCCCATTTCATTGCAAAGCCTTCACTGCTAGAAAAGCTGGATCTGGAAACCAGGAAAATATGAGAAGATCATGCACTGCCATTGCAAATGCATCAAGCATAGGACAACCAACTAAATACCAGCTCAGAGAAAAACATGATGTGAACATAGCAAAAAAAGTATAGAGACTGTTTTATTGAGTCCCATCATACTTGTTGATATTATATGTCACAACAGGGGCAGTGTAACAAGACATTCACGTTGAACAGCCCAAATAACTGAGAAGACTATGGACCCAAAAGATAACATTCTCCCAGCACATCACCAAGCCCTGGAGTGAAAGATTCAGACCTGGAGGGGGTAAAGAAATGGTGAACCTACGATAATGAGCCACACTGAAAGGTGATAAAAGTAGTAGAAGAAATTCTAATAGTCAACAGGTCTGAGGATAGACTCCAAGAAGGGGCAAGATCTCATTAACAATACCTTAAATATGCACAATCCATGGAAATTGCTACATAAAGAGAAGTAATTGTTTCCAAATTAGAGAAGATGTGTTTGGCAGAAGAAAAAGTATGCACACTTAAAACACAAGGAAGAGCAAAAATAAGTGAAAAATTCATGAGATAATGTTAATACAAAATATTGAATGAAAAAGATATTGAGTAGGCACAAGCTGAAAAGGGCAGGTCACAAATTAATAAGTCACTTCATCCTGTGAAAAATGGTGATTGGTGAATCAGTATATGTATTTGTTTGTATTTAAATGTAAAGCTACACAATCACAATAGGCTATTTGTGTTGTGCCCATCACCCTAGTTTTTAGAATATAAGCCTTAATACTTACTGCTGAGCCACTAGGAAACAGGGGGTTTCGTATAAATGAACATATTTTGAAATCCCTATTCATCATCCATACACATCAATGAGGAAACTTTAAGATGTTCACTGATTCTATCTATATAAAAGGAATATGTAGATAACATAAGACCATTCTTCAATACCCTGGTGTCTGTGAAATGAGAGTAAACATTCAGAGGCAACATGAAGTAACAACATTGTTGTGAGAAAAAGGTGTGAAATTGAAGAGAAACTAGTTTTGAAGGTTGAATAAAAAAAATCAAACTGAATAATCTCATGAACCCAAGGAACATGAAGCAAAGGATCCATAGATTAGCAAAAATCTGAGATGACCCCCACAAATTTATATGAAAAAGTCATCCAGAATAGAGAAGTAATGAGCCATAAAAATCCATCTTGCTTACACTGACACTGGGACACACTAAAGGTATGAGTATATCAACAAACATTCACGCAGGACTATAAGAGAGAGAATGACAACCAAAACAAAATGTTAAAGTTCAATCAACTTCTGCTGGAAAGTTTCTCTTGAACAGGAAACAAAGTGAAAATTATTTTTTATTCTTTATATATACATTTATATATGGATGTTGACTGATTAACCTTTTAAGCACAAGTAGACATGATTACCATCCACTCGACTAGGGAAGGACCTTTATGCAACAAAAATATGGTAACTGTACATTCCTCACAAAATCTGGTAAGAATTTGTTAAAGTTTGTAAGTATCTTGTACAAAAAAGAATGATATTATTCTAATTATGTCTTTTTGATAAAAATGTAATTTATCTATAGTACTTATATGCACTCAAACTGTTCAATTAGTTTGAGTGTAAGGTGATTTTCATTTTAAGTATAAAAATACATAT